ATATATATATATATATATATAAATAAAATAAAAAAAAAAACTTCATACAAATTTAGACAACATTTAAGTCTTCTTAGCAATAAAGTAGCGAGGTTGGGGTAGTTATGCATGCTGTCAAAATTTGAGAGCAAAATTGTTTTGCGTTTCCCATTTAGAACCGACATAGTTAAATGTAGTCATTCGACATGTACATTTTTATAACTAGCATTAGGATCGCACCTGAGCTTCAACTGTAGCTCCTTCAAAAAAATGGATGAGAAATAACAATATCGAACAATTTCTGAAGTATTTACAGTTGCAGATGCTAACATGTGGAAATAGATATCCACCCAAATTGGGTCGAGTTCACAGGATTTTGTTCAAACAGGAAAAATAAAAAAATATTCATCAGCTCCTCTACTTTTGACTAGCAATTAAGATATTCTGGAGAAAACTGTTACTGTATATTAGTAAATCAAGAGGGAATGACAAAAACCATCCAAGATGCAAAGCAAATAATGAATTTTTCCTTCTGGATATTAATCAAGGATTGTTTTTTTTTTTTTCAAGCTTCAGCATATTTAGCCAACTGCTGCATGATGAAAACTGAGGCCTACTACACACAGCCAATTGTTCGAGTAATGAATTAAGTGTGACAAGACAAGTCTTATGCCAATCAACATAAGCAGGACTTATTCAACCTAAGCGCTTGCAGTTGGTGCAGCATTGATTCGAGAATTTTGTGTAGTTAATTCTTTGAAGAAGCATACTGAAGGACTATCCAGGGAACCAGTTAGGTACTCTTAGGTGTTCTTTTCATCGAAGTAGGTATTTTTAAAATGTCCTCCCCTAGCTTGAAAATCTCAAAGCCAAGTCCATCTTTATCTTGAGCCATATCCAATCAAAACCATGTCTCCTCACATGCAAGTTCAGGATCTAAAACTCGTCCATGACAGCATTTTCACAAAGGGGATTTGGGAAGGAAATATCAATATGAATTGAGAATGACCATATAGATCATGAAAAAAGAAAGACAATCAACAATACCTTGATGGAAGCACTCTTCACCTCACAAATCACCCTCGAAATTTCCAGTCAACGATGTCAGAATTTTGTCCAATGGCAATTCAGGTTTGTTGACTATAACTTCTCCTCATCATTCACCATATAACTTATTTGTACAAAAATAACATAATTATTAATAAAAAATACATAAAATTGCAAAAACAAATGATAGTTCTAATATGCACGACTACAACTTTAGCTATTGTTGACATCCCTGAGGCTTGAAAGATATTATGTTTTAAAATGACAAGCACTAAGTTCTACAAATGAATATCTTTCTTAGGAAGTCTAGATATGGTTATCTTGCAAACAAATGCGAAGCATCGAATGAAAGCTCCACATTTGAATGGTGAAACAACATATGAATTAGATTTCAAATGGGAAGTGGCCTTTGAAAGCCCATGCATATTGTCAAATGCCATTTTGTTGTATTTTCTTTTTTTTTGGATTTTTCTAAAATGTCTCCAACCGTAAATCAATCTTTTCTAAATGCTTTATTTTTTTTAAGCTTATTTGGATTCCGTCAAGTAGTTTTCATTTTTGTACTTTTAAAAATATATATATAACAATTTTATTTTTTTAATTTTGTTTTGGGCTTTTAGACCCTGTACGTGGCTCAGTCTCGGCTGGGGCCAGGGCCAAGTCTGAGGCCCGAGCTGAGTCCAAAAACATTGGGTGGAAAAGAGTGCAGATCCAAGTTACCACATTTTGAGAATGCATTAAACAAATTGACCCAACAGCAATATTCCAATATTCCCATAACTAAAAACTTTCCAGGGGCTTGAGTCAGGAGCAATCTAATGAGAAAACAATTTCTACAGATGAAGAGTTCAATGTTCAGCACCACAGTTCAATAAATAAATTCCAATGCATGATTTGCCCCATATAGGAACAAATCAGAAGAACCCAATTGCTCATTTCAGATAAATCAGAAGTACTAACAAACCCAACAACAAAATAAACCAACAATTCAGAACAACCCAATTGCTCATTCCTGATAAAACAGAAACAGTAATAGACCCAACAAAAAACTGGAAAATACTAGAACCCAAAATACACATCAAATTTCCAATAAAGCATACTATACAGAGATACCAACCCATGACCAGCTCTCAGCTTTAATGTCTTCATAAAGTGGCTTAACGATCGCATAAAAACGAGCTGTAGTGCTTACAACTATTCCTGGATTTGGTTTCTCTAAAATAAGGTAACCCCCAGTAATTAACACCTTTCCAGGAGCTGATGCAACTCTGAAATCAAAGTAGATGCAACCAATTCATCAAAAGATACAATGAAAAATATATATATTTCCCCCCAATATCCTTTTTTTATAATGTATATGAATTAACAGACGCTCTCAAATATTTCAAGAAAAAAATCAAGAAAATGGGGGGAATGAATAACAAAAACACTTGGTACCAAATGATTGATCAGGGATCATACTTACACAGCCATATGGAAGTAAACTTTAGCTGGTACACCAATTGAATCTAGTGAAAAAATGCAGCAGTCAGGTAAAATCTAACGAACGAGAAACAAAAAAAAAAATCAGGAAACTATATATATTACATAGTAATAAGACACGAAAATAAGACTTCCATCACTTAATTACCAGGGGGAATTAACAATATAATACCACAATGAAAAGCCAATAATCCTTAAGAGAAGAAAGCTCCGAAATTTACATGTCTGGGTGGTGCTCTCTCTCTCTATCTCTCTCTCTCTGCTCGCATTGATGAAGGCCAAAAGATGAGGCGAGACAACGTCATAGAAAAATAATGAATGTACGTTTGATACGTTTTTCCTTCCCCGAGTCTTAAAATCAGAAGATGCATCTTTTCTCCATTAATGATTTAATCTTTGAAACCCTGCAAGATAAAGCACACCCAAAACTAATGATTCTAATAATTTTCAACATTTTATTGTAAAGAACCCCTAAAATGCCTAATAATGAAATTTATAGTTTTAGAGGAAATTTTTATGGGAAAAAGAAAGGTACCTGATGAAGAGGAGTTAGAGAGAGAGGGAGAGGGAGAGAGGAAGAGGGGTTAGAGACAGAGGGAGAGAGAGAGAGAGGAAGAGGGGTTAGAGAGTGAGAAGTACCTGATGAGGAGGAGCAGTTGCGGAAGAGGCGTTGTGGAGGAGGCGGAGGCATGGAATGCAGCGGCATGAGGGTGGTAAAGAAGCGAGAGGGTGAGGTAGGGCGTGTTTGATAAGTGGAAGTTTCTGGAAGTGGGAGTTAAACGTCCCAGTTCCATGTTTGATATTTACTTTGTTGAAGCTTTGAAGCGGAAGGGCGACATTCCATATAGTTTTATTTTTTAGTGTTAAAATGGGTTCATTATTGGAAGATTTCTCTTTCATAAATAAATAAATAAACAAATAAATAAATAAAAAGAAGATGAAGAAGAAGAAGATAGAATGGCATTCTTTTATAATTCGTAGGTGAGACTCTTCCACTCTCAAAAACTCTATGTGTCAAACACATCCTAAGTTTCATGATTTTCCAATAATTTTTTAAAGCGTAAAAGTGAGAAGAGTTACATCATAACAAATTTTTTCAAATATCTTATATTTTTTTATCATACACAAACATGAATAGTAACAAGTAAGTTCCATCTTTTAGAAACTAACTTCCGGTTATCAAACACGTCGTTTAAGTTTGACATAACTATTTTGCAATAAATTATTTTTTAAATATAATTTGATCATAATTTTTAGATCTTTAACATGTAGGTCGCGAATAAAAATAATTTAAATTTTAAAAATAATAATTAGAAAATTATTTCATGCGGGCTCGACCTTATCACTACATATGCGGTCCAAATACTGTAAAGCATCCATCTTAAAGATGGATGTAAGTAGGCGTTCCATCTAAAAACAATGGAAACTAATGGTCCAATGTTTTTTTACTAGAATTATTATTTTTTGTTTTTAAAATTTACTTATGTTTTCATATTCGTGATCTCCACGTTAAAGATTACATATCCTTAAAAATTAAGTCCAAAAATCTATCTCAAAAATAGGTTTATTAATATGCCTACATTTCTACATACGAGGGTTGGGCTGCATAGACACCGGATCCAATATACTTACATTAAAAAAACATTTGAACTATTAATTACACTTGTTTCCAGATGGACCACTTATTAAAGATGGATGCTTTATACTTATGAAGCACAAATGCAGTCAGCCCGCATGAAACAATTTTCGATAATGGACAAGCGTTTTAACAATTTTCATAATGGACAATATTTAAGATAAACTTCCACAACTAAAATTCTCATAGTGTGGATGGGAAAATTTAATTTTAAAAATAAAATTTTCAGTTTTTATTTTATTTTATATTCTTATCACCTCTACAAAATTGGATCCAATATCTATAAAAAAAAAATAGTATTAGAGGGAGTCTGCACAAGAATAGTATGAGTCAGGAGACTTATGTAAACCGAGTCCTAAAATCGTTTATTTGGGCAAGTCACATGCACCACTAGCCTCCAAATGTGAAAAGCTTTTGATGTGTTGACGTCTTTGTATTAAAGGTAAATTGTCTTGTTATATTTATCATTATTTAGGTTAAAATAAATAAATAAATAAAAACCAGTGAACCAACCAAACAATGGAATAGATTAAACAACAAACAACTAAGACTAAAGGACAGCAGGTATCCGAATGGTTTATATTTGTTAAAAAAATGATTTTAATGGTTTACAAATTAAATTTTAGATTCACATATAATTTTGAGAAATTTATCAAATTACCAATTTGACACTTTACCCACATCTTTTGGTTTAATTTCAAAACATCCATAAAAAAATAATTGGTTTTGAGTTGGAATAGTTTCAATTTGGCAAAATATTAGTTAAGGGAGAATATCGTGTCAGCCCATGAGCTGATAGAATAATATAAGCCCAATTGCCCGGATTGTATATGCCCCGATCTTAGGATCAAGACTGTATTTTATATTTTAATTTTAATTTTTCTACAAATCTAAATCATATGAAATTTGGGGCATTCACTTTTCTTATCAAAACGTATATAACAAAAATATTAAAAAAATAATTTACAAAAATAAATTAACCAAAATACCTTTAAAAGTTTTAAGGGTATACTAGTTCATTTATTTTTTTGAATTATTTTTTTGATATTTTTATAGTTTGATTATTTTTTAAGAATATACTATCAATTTCAAGTGATTTGGATTTATAAAAAATAAAATAAAATTGAAATTCGAAATGTAATTGTGACCATTAAATCGGCCTCGGCCTAGATTCAATCTGGGCTATTGGACATTCATTTAATATAGCTATCAGCTAGCTGGTTGACCTCAAACTGTCTCAATAGTTAATCTCCGATAGTAGTTCGATAAAGGGATTGTATATAATGATATCATTTACTTTTGGTACAAGGAGGTCACATATTTTTTTGGCCATTGGATTAGAAATCCAATATATTGAAGTGTATAGCAAAATTTGAGTTTTATTTATTTATTTATTTTGAGTCCAATCAATGAAAGATCCTCAACAGCATAATTTTACATCCAACAGTTACTAATGATTGTGACATCATTGTATCACAAAAAAATTGTCTGTATATATTTTATTTGATAGATGTCCCTTTAACTCTTTTTTTATACATACTTGTGTGACAATAAGTAATAATTTTCATAGTTGAGATGATTAATTGAGATTTATAAATCTAAAAAAATCAATATAATGAGAGGTTCGCACTAAAATGCAATACTAAAATTTAATCTGTATTGTTTCGCTAAAAAAGAGAGTCAATATAATTTGAAACTTAAAGATTGTGAGTCTCATGAGGAGAAGGTGGGTGCTTGACAGTATTGAGCAGGAGAACTTGGGTTTAAATGATGATTAATTAATAAAGGAGAAATATTCATACTTCTCTTTATGATTGTCTAAGGTTGGACAATATTCATTAGAGACAAAGAGATCTGAAGACAATTTTTTTTTTTACATTTATGTAAATACAAAGAGAATAGTGTGACTAGTGTTCATATTCAATAGGTAAATAGGGATGGCCAGGCAGGTATGGAGAATGCCATACCTACCAACCACCCCTGGAATATGAAGCTTTCCCATCGAAAGCTTCATACTTGTAACCTCTCTATTGTGCATGTGAACGTGCTGCTTCAGGAAGAAGTATACAAGTTGGTGCAAAGATATCTGCGAAGTCATTTACAATTTTGGAGTTTAGTTAAGCAAGACATTATTCTGATGGTACATTAATTATTTGATAGTCATCAATAAGGCTATTGAATAAAATCAAATCACCCTAATTCTAAAGGAAACCATTATTTCATGCCTACATGATAAAATGCACATAGGATTACTTATTGTTCTTTAACAAATCATAAGAAAAATTATTGCAGGGAGGTTGGGGAGAGTACTTCCTTTGATAATATCTTGTCCACAGTCAACCTTCATTCAGGGAAGATTGATCACATATAGTATATTAATTACTCCAAAGTGTATAAATTCTAGAATATGTGACAACATGCCTTGACATAATATGCAAATTAAATTAGGAGAGTGCCTATGATAGAGAGGGCTCGGGGATTTTGTAGGAAATTATGAGTCATGGGGTTTTGATTTGAAATGGATGAATTGGATTTTATGGAGTGCATATGGTTTTGGTAAATAGTATACTTAAAAGGATTATTTCAGGCATCAAGGGGTATTAGAATAACACTTAAACAATAGTAAATCCCAAGGTCAAGATGATTTACTAGCATGTTAGATTTTTATAATGGGAATAATACTCGTGCATTAATTCCAACCAGAATTATTTCACATTATATTGACTTCCTCCTATCCATAACTCTCCGATGATTAATTAGAGAATGTTCCAACCAAAACAAGCATTTTTTTGTGAGTTTCTAAGGGTTTCTACACCTTTTCCTCTAGAGGGAGCATATTATTTATTTCCTTTTCGAGCAAAACCCAAGGTATACTTTTAGAACCTCAGATTTTGGAGATGTAACTTATTCAGTGCATATACTATATACCCAATAAAAAATTTTTCGAATTGCATTCTCTGCATGCTAAAAAATAATACCATAAGATTGAATAGAAACAATCAAAATTTTGAAGGGGTGAGATCCAAGTTTACAAAACTCAAGATTTTTGGGTATTTTTAAAAAAGATGCAGTTTGCATAAAGTTGCAACTTTAAACAATCAGAATAAGGTGTACTTCCAAACATTGTTATGAGATGTAATTTTGGTGTCCAAAATTCTTAAGATAGTGTAAAAATCTACTTTTATTTATGATTATAAAAATTACACCAAAATTCTTAAGATAGTGTAAAAATCTATTTTTATTTTTTATTATAAAAATTGTGGACTCAAAAAATGATTCCAATCAAACAAATCTATAAACACATGAAAATATAAAAAATAGACAGTTGAGATAATGCAAGATGTACAAATTTGAGATATCTTTTTTTTTCCATATCTATGCATCTCATGTCCGGATGATCAATTAGATATTTTCTAACATCAAAATAACCTTTTTCAAAATAATTTAGAGGCGTCAAAATTATATAAATTTTATCCTAAAGGGTAATTTTGTATCAAAAGATATTTCCAAGTTAGTGTTCAGTTATGCTCCCGCGGGAGCATAGTATACGCGCTCGTTTCCAAAACCATTTCCTAATCTTGCGGGTTGTCTCAATTTTGCAGAAGAACTTGGGGGTCGCAAGCAAAGGAAAAAGCTCACGGTTAGATAATTGCGCGGGAAAGTTTTCAATTCCTCAAAACTCAAATGAAAGCGAAACTTGCATTTAGGGTTTTGTTTTTACTCACATTCCACCTCTTTCAAGCTCTCATGTTTAATCGTAAGATACTTAGGGGATTTTTATGTCATAACCAGAGGAAGATAAATGGTTTGAGTTTGGGTTTTTGGTTGGGAATGAAATAAATTAGGGTTTCTGGATGAGAATTAATTCGAAGCGGAAGAAAAATTGGGGTTTCTGGTTTATATGAGTCTGAAACAGTAGGGAAATTAGGGTTTCTGGCTGGAAGCATAACGAAAGTTAGGTTTCTGAATGAGATGAGTTTGAAGCAAAAGGAGAAATAGAGTTTTTGGTTGAGATGAGTAAGCAGAAGGTGAAAAAATAAGGTTTATGGGTTGAGATGTTATTGCATTACTGAGAAAATTAGGCTTTCCAGGTTATGTCTGAAACATGATTAATGGAAGGATCTATTTTAGGGAATAAGTTTGAAGCAGAAATAAGACTAGGGTTCTAGATCAGCATGACTTTATCAGTGGCTGATTTCATAAGACAAGAGGTGCCGGACTGGGATGAAGGGGTAGTGGCCATGGCAAGATTCAAGGCTTTCAGTGGTCAGAGATCAGATTGGGAAGCAAGATTTCTATTTTGGAGAGAACTCATTATCAAAGTAGCTCGACATCTCGATATCATTATTATCTCAGCTTCTGAGGTGGGCCGATATCTGACCTTTAGCAATTATATTGCCCTTTTGAATCTTGTTACTTTTCTTTTCCTTCCCTTAAACTGGTTTGTCTTAGTTCATTGTAACAATAGTTTTCAAGAATCGCAATGGGGTAATATTAACTTGGGGATGTTTTGTTACTGAGTATGATGAATTCATTTGGTAAAATTTTCATGATTCAGTGCAGGTTTAATTCAAATTAAATAAAAAAATTAGAGGCTTTCACAAATTTCTTTATTGTGTTCACTTTATCTACTCATGTATTAGAAACTCTTCATCATACGTCCATTTATGCCATTGTTTATTGAACAATGTTCCTTTTGTTTATAAGCAACATCTATTTGATTTACCATCATAGGTTGTGTATACATAGCTCAAGTCTGTAAGGAAATTTGTACTTTATCTTCTATGGTTAAAAAAATAGAATATCGTTGAGGAGCTTAGAAAATTAAAACAAAACTGACCTGAGATTGGAAACCTATAGTTTTGTGGAGGTTGAATTTTAAATGATGTGTGTGAATCTTTTGACCTATTGAGGCAATGCATCAGTTTGACTGTTGAACATTTTGATAGGAATTTCTGCACAAGTATTATTCATGTATACTTTTTTTTTTTTTAAGCCACGTTTGGACATCCCGGTAACCATACCAGAGCCTTATCTTTACCTGCCTTTAGGGGCTACCGTGAAAATATCCACTCTTACGTGGTCATAATGACCTATAACAATATGCAAGCTCTTCCAGATACCAGCAATTTTCTCCTCTCCTTTCACTATCAGGCAAAATGCCACCACTGCTTAGGGGGTTACATTCCTGAACTTGTGCCCTTCAATTGTGGCATGCTGAGCTGGCATGCCACCTATTCAGGAGCAACTACAAGAGAATTTTATCCCATGGCCAAAAAGGTGACATCCGAATGGGCCTTAGACTAGGAATAAATAATACAGTTTGAAGTCTTTGGACATCTAAATTAGCAAACATCTATTATGGAACTTTTATGTTTGTTTATTGTTAGGTACTTCCATTCCGTTGACTAATTTACTTTGTGTGATGTCCTATTTTCTTAGTCTAAACTCAAACTGGTGCGGAAGTATTTTTCCCATTTGTTTCATATTGAATACAAGAAGGTCGTACTTGTGAACTACCATTGTTTTGTTCTATGCAGGTGGGCAAGTGGTTTGTTCAACGAGGTGTGACGCCATTATGTATCGACCATGTATTGGTGAGCTTCTTGTTCAAATATGATATCACTCTTAAATATGGGTGTTCTTCAATTCATATGAATTGTGGTGCCCCAGTGCTCATTTGGCCTTCATGAGTTGGTTTTGTCTTTCCCTGTAATTATAAAGTTGGTGATGAACTTTTCATGAACTTCTGTGACCTTTGCATGAGATATCAGTGGATTGGAACTGATGAATAGCTATACCTATGGTTTTCCTTTCCTAGACAAAGAGAAGTGATAATAATTTGCCTGAGTTTCATTACCAGTGGGCATACTACAGGTTGAAATTTGGGCACTTTTGTACTGTAGTTGTTTTCTGGCATTGATGGTTATCTCTATATGTTCTTCCTGTAAGCATAACCCATAACTTTCTATTGGTATCTCCATGAGTCTAAACTCATAGCTTCTCATGTCCCATCTTTTTTTTTTGGCATTTCCATCAGCTAGAAATGTGTAACACAGGTGATATTGTGAGGAGCAGGGACCTAAAGGATCCTTCCAGCAGTCATCTCCATCACATGTTTAAACAAGTAATGAACTTGGTGTCTACATCCCTATCAGGGCCTCAAAGTACTATTGAAGATCGCCTAATTTTAGCGAGTCTAGTGCAGGTATGTCTTCTTATTCTTGGGGTTTCCTTTCCCTTTATATTTCTCTATGTAAGCTAGGCCAGGAGGCCGAAAAAAAACCTAAAATCTAACTTCAGATTTGTCAAGACTTTCTTACACTGTTTTGTAGGAGCAGAGAGACTTAAATTAGCTTGTAATATAAAGTCTGCTACTCAGAATACAATTGAATTTTCAGGAGAGAGCTTCTCAAGTTGTGGGGATTTTATCTGAAAGCCATTGGACCTCCAGCTGTGTGATAACTACGGCAAAATTCCAGAGTCTTTGTAAAGGAAATGATGAAGCTGCTGCTGTCATGAGTTATTTGTCAGGGTGTGGAAGAGCACGGTACCTGTCAATCAACAAAAAGGATTGCATTGAGGTGCCTTAATGTTAACTTTATATCACAATTGTAATTGTATTGCATGAAAATTTCAGAAAACAAAAGGAGAAACCTGAGAGAACCCACTGGCATGCTAAATTATACGTACAACAGAAACCTGGGTAAATTTCAAAAAAAGTGAAAAACAAGCATAATCGACACTGGTGGAAAGTAGTACACGAAGATCAACCACAACCTAATAAAACTATTAAAAGACTAACTGCTTGTATGCAGGGAGGGAATGACCATTTAAAGTCAAATTTGATGATTCAGGTTGGAGTTGGGGGTATTATCATGGATGATTTCAGTTATTGAGGGGCCTGTTTGGATTGCATAGAAATTGGTGAGGGGTTGGCTTTATACTTGGGCTCTTTCTATCAGGTGCTTGATATGGGGCCAATCTCTACAAGATTTTGCCTCTGCTTGTAGGGAAAAACATGCTTTGGTGATATGGTATACTTTAAAAAAAGCTGGTTTGCCCCCATGACCAATAAGGCAGTTTCATGCAGCCACTTGTTCACCACAACAAAATAGGCCCCAAAGGTGTTAGCAAGATCAATATATTATTGGATATGGTTGATGTGATAGTAACTGAATTTACTTTGGGAATTCTTATTTCATGTGTATCCACCTCAAAATCTTTTGTCCATGTGCGCACTCGCGCGTGTGCACACTTGCCAATGCATGCCTGAGTTAAAGCATTATATTTTAGTTTGGCTCCTACAGCTTTTGCATATTTGAGACATTGGTATTATAATGTTCAGGGTGTCAAATTATCTCTTGTCCCAGCTGTTGTTCCTGCTACTTCAAGCCTCGATTATGACACATTACGATTAGTGTGGACACTTGAAAGGCTTCAACACCAGCTTGAAGTGCTCAACCAACGTTATGAGAAGTAATAAATTCCTTTTCTCATTTATCTGTTATGATTTTCATATATGAAAATTCTTGCTTGAGGGAATTTATCAATATCTGTCCTAGTTGCAGTCACGTATGTTGTGAAGAAAAATTTGTAGAGTCAATAGAAAGGAAAAGGAAGCTAAATAAATCGTGGTCAGGAAGGACTCCTAAGTCAAGATTTAATAGTGGAAGTAGTTGGATGAAAATCTTAATTAGCATTTTTGGAATATCTATGTTAAAGGAGATATCACGACTTAATCTGGAAGAGTTTATTCAAATATATTGAAGGATAGTTTCTTTGACAAGTGGGGCAAGATATTAATTATTACTTGAAAGACCTAAGGAACGTTGCTGGATGAATGAGAGACTGGTGTCTATGGGAGAACATTTATGCAACTATCATAGCATTGGTGTTGAGCAAGAATGGTTATTGCAAGTAGGCAACACCATAGAAAGTATGAACTTTTAATTTTTCTATAAAATATCAACGGCAGACAATCATAGAAAAGACCGATAGTTTCTGTGTTGTCTTTGGCAATAAAAATGTTTTTTTTTTTAATTAACAGTGCAAGGAAATCTGCACTAGCCTTAGTCAAGTCTGGAAGCAAACAAGCTGCAGTTGGTTACCTGCGGCACTCAAAGTCAATCTCAGAAAGCAGAACGAAATGTGTGTCATTCATCAATAGGGTCGATGAAGTTCTTGGACTCATTGCTGATGCTGAATCCACGAAAAAGGTCAGGTCTTGAATAGGTTTAGTGAATACCTTTTCTTTTCTTTTCTTTTCTTTGCCTATTTGCTTATTTCCTTCTTTTTTTTTGTGGGGTGGGAAGGGGGTGGGGGAGGGCATTGCTCTGTAAGGGGTCACTTTCTTGTTTCCTGTAAGGGGTAGCTTTCTTGTTTCTTGTATGGGGAAAACACAGAACTCTCATTGTGGAAACCAACTTTTAGACCAAAGATAATAAGCAAAACATCCTTAGGGCCCTTTCTTTCTTTTTATCTGACTAATAAGCTTTCTGATAGCCATTGACTAATAAGATAAATCGGCAGATTTTCTGGTCTTCCCTAAATTCCATTTTTAAAAAATAAAGGAACCTCTATAGATCTATTGTTGTATGCATGCCTTTTGTCAAAATTAATGGTGTTTATCCTTTGTATCATATTTGGCAGGTTAATGAAGCCATCCAGATTGGAGCTCGTGCTATAAAGGAAAATGGTATCAGCATGGAAGAGGTTCAGATATGTCTCCAGGAGCTTAATGAGGGGGCTTCCTCCCAAAAACAAATAGACGAAGCTTTACGTAAGTTTAAGCATTCTTTGTCATGTTACATTATTTATAGTTACCCAAATCGTGTACCGAGGAAGCGATTCCGATTCGGAATCGCGATTCTGCGGTTCCCAAGACAAAACACAATTATAGAAGATTGGAATCACGTTTTCAAGTTTCTCGAAATGTATTCCAGATTATTATTTTAATCTCGATTCCTAGAAGCTTGGAATCTAGATTCCATATCGTAGAATTTGTGATTCATAGTTGCACAACAATGCGATTCAAGGTGTGCGAAATGTTAATTTCAATTTTCTAGGAATTGCGAATCCATGTTTGGAAGCTAGATCCATATTGTGAAAAGGTACAGTTTGTAATGCATTGAGAAATGTTTCAATCAACATCGAATCAAGTTCTAATGGCATGAAATCAAGATTCAAATGCAAATGTTGAATGAAATGTGTTCACAAATTGTACGTTGCCAAAGGAGCTTCAAGAAGAGTTCGAGGGACCCTTTCGTATCATATTACAATTTGTTGCAAATTGATGGGGATAATGATTTCTATAATATAGGAGTCACGATTACTTTTTCGTCGGATCACGCTTCTGGAAGCCATTGAAAAGTTTGGGGTCATGTGCGAAGGTTGGAAACTCGTTTCCAACATGATGGGACACCGATTCCTACAAATAGGAATCATGGTTCCTATTTTATTGGATTGTGATTCCGATTATTGGGAATCACACCTCTAATGATTTTCATTATAGGGAGGTGATTCCGAGATCAGGAATCCTATGGCACATGCGATTCTGATTCCTAAAGCAAATCGGAATCATAGGCATTTCCAACAACTGTGAAATTCTCTTTGGTTCAAGCACCCGAAATGTAGGTAGCCACTTCTTCGTAGCGATGCAAAATTACCGAGCTGACTCGGATTCTCCTTTTTTTTTTGGTTAATTTCTGTGTGGCCCGGTGTGACTTGGGAAACGCTTGAGTTGGACCTGGCGAATTGAATTGGACTCCTGGCAAGTCGGAGCCTGATCCCAATTTTTGACACACTTTATTTTTTTAACCCGTGTATATTGTCACGGACAATACTCAATATAAGTGTCACTTTCTTCAAAAGAAAAAAAGAGGAAAAAAAAGAAGAGAAAACATTTCTCTTTGGTTTGACTAATTTTTTGCTGACTTTTTCCTAAATCTTTTATGTAATGTCTTTTTCATCAATTTGAACGAAGAGGATACCAACTATTCTCTCAGAAATATGTCATACAAATCAGAAGATAAAAACAACAGAAGTGTTTCAAATTCTAGGTAGAACATGCAATTCTGAAGTTTCTAAAAGCAGCAGACGAGTCCTATACTATTAAAAAGTCAGAGTTGCTAGTTAACTTCAAATGAATCATGATGCAATATTTGTGTAGTTGATGCTCTCCTTATAATTCTGATAGCATTGTAGGGTTCTCACTTCAGATCTTAGTCAATGGATATGCACAGGGTAATAAACTTTATGGTGTGCCTTCTCTTTATTGTAACAAACATGGAGTATCTATTCAAGGTTGATGTCATTCTATTCTCTAGATATCAAGAACATTGATTTTGTGCTAATTCTTTGTGCTGCATCAATCTCAAACTAATGATTGTTCAGTTGTTTGTAATCTGTGCACCACAACTAATCATAGAGGTCAAGAAGGCAATAAGCCAGAGGCATAATTTCTATTATAAACATGCCATAGCTCGTTGATATTGTTTGCAACTATTTGTGGCCATTAATGAGGTTTTATTTTTATTTTTATTTTTAATTTTGTCATTGCAAGAAATGAGATCTTTCTGGCCTTGATTCCTCTATTCTTCTTACCTGAATTTCCCACAGCTAATTGTCCCACAAAACTACCAAAAACTCCTGGGGAATTGTTGAGTTTGTGATCTCTTGAATGCTGTAGTGTTCGATTGATGGGCTTATGAAACTATACAGTGAAAATTTCCTAATGCTACATTTAAGCATATATGTGTATCATCTTCAAGAACAAACGACATTTGCACCACATGCATCCTACTGCTGAACAACTGAAACATGATCTATATGATTGTTTTCACAATTTAAAAACTAATAATAATTAATAATATTCTCATTACAGTCCCTTATGTCCTAGTTAAGAAAAAGACTCCTTTGAACAAACTAAGAAAAATATTCTTTTCATAATATCTAAGCTGCTCATGAAGCATGCAGGCTATTCTTTCTCTCTTCTGGGCACCTTTTATATACATGAAGAGGAAACTATACCTCTACCAGTGATTGATGACTCTGTGGTATGGTACACAATGGGGCATACACCATCCAACCCAATCATTACAGTAGAGATTCACCATGACTACTGTTAATCTCTGCTATCTTTCATATGTAAATGGTGGATTTCCCTGCAGTGTACCATATATTGTATGCCACACCAGTGTTGTAAGTTTTCCCCTACATGTCATCTCATGTTTGTAACATGCTGATTAGAATTTGTTTCATAACAGAATTACCTCCATTTTCGTACTTGGATATGGAAGATGAAGAAGTGGAGGAGGAATTCAAGAGATTGAAAGAAGAAATTGGAGAAGTGAAAGTTCATGAAACTGTTCCAAAGAATGCGTCAAAAGCAGCGCAAGAGGAGACACAAGAATTGGCACAATCCTTGAGTAAAGGCTTGTCAAAGCTTACACTTGAGCCTGCTTAGTCTCCTTGATCCTCTTCTTCTCTTCTTTTTTCTTTTGTGTGTCAAAAGTTGAATATGTATTATATATAGGAAAAGTATGCACAATGAGACCATTTATCTTTGATATAAGGTGGTCACAATTAATTTTGACCATTAGATGTAAAATTGGGTGGCTGCATTTGTAAGCAGGTGTTCTTGATCTTCATTAGCGTGAGATTGTAAAACCTATGCTTTCTTTGTTGTATACTTGGCAGGGCATTTTGTGCATGAAATATCTGGTTGCTTTCTCCTCCCCCCCCCCCCCCCCCCGAAACCATCAAAATTTCACATTGTATACGTCTTCTAACTCTCCTAATTTTATTGCATGGCTTGGGAAAACTCATTGGAATGACACAGTTCTCTGTGAAGGTAGTTTTTTTCTTCACTTTTCTAACCCCACTTCTTTCATCAAGATTATCATATAATATATGATAAGTATGGGATAGGATGTGAAGATAATTTGGTGGGTAGGCTGGCGAAGCTTTTGGGTTGTAGTAACAAAAAGTTTCTTTATAGGCATTTGGGCATTTCTTAGTGGATACCAAACTGTGAAAGACAATTTGGGACCCAATTATTGAAAGATGTTAGAAAAAGTTGGATTATGGAAGGCCAAGACCTTTTCTTTGGGAGGAAGATATATTTAAATCAAATCCATTTTATCCAATCTTCTAGTAAACTTTGTCCTTATTTTATATGCTTAAGCAAATTGTCAAACGTATTGAGAGATTAATGAAAAACTTTTTATGGGGGAATGTGGACAAAGATAAGAAACTTTATCTAGTGAAATATGAATCAACTTGCAATCCGATTAGGGAAGGAGGTTTGGGTATTAGAAGATTGAATTTCATGAACTCTATTTTATTGACAAAGAGGTGGTTGATGATACATATTTAGCAAAATGCGTTTTGGGTGGAGGTTTTAAGAGATAAATATGAAGAAGATACCCTTATGGGACTCATTAAGAGTCCAATAAATAAATCTAATTTTTTCTTTCTTACGGAGATGCATCGATCACTGTAGAGGGACTTATTTGAACTACATCAAGAAGGCGGTTGGTGGTGGAGATCAAACCCTCTTTTGGTTTGATAAATGGTTGGGGAATGAGCCTTTAGGACTCCAATATCTGGAGGGTTTTACCAAAGTTTTGAATCCCTGGGCTATTGTAAAAATGGCAAGTGGGGGTGTTTTTACTATCATTGCTTTGGTCTTTAACTTGTAGGTACAAGAGGGGCCGTGATTCTTTCATTGAGGCATCAAAACTTGATGAATAGGCCATTTCACCCAATGAAGTAGACTCTACTGTTTGGGAATGTATGAGGTTTGGGGATTTCACAATTAAATCAATGTACTGTTTGTTGTTTCAAAATCATCACAGTGCATTGAATCCCTGGCTGCGAATGACTAGAAAGATCAATGTCCCCACAAAAATTCAGATGTTCTTATGGATCCTTTGTCAGGAACGTCTGGCAACAATTGACAATCTTAGGAGATGGGGCTTCAATATCGTCAATGTCTACATTTTATGCAAAGCTGACATCGAAAGTGTTTCTCATCTTTTCTTGGAGTGCCTATTTGCTTTGAATTTGTAGAGTGGAGCCCGTCAGTTGTTCAACCTTCAAGTACCCATACTAAGAAATACAATATCTCTTCTTGAACAGTGGATAACACCAAGGATCTTTAAGCTAAGTATTGCTCTATGGAGGTCAGTTTGGGTGAGCGTGCTTGGGGAATTCGAAAAGAGCGAAATAGAAGAGTTTTTGAGGGAGTTATGTTAGAAGAATCTATCCTTAAATCAAATATCTTAGCATTAGTTGCAGATTGGTGTTCTACGAGTAAGGATTGTGCATGTATTCCCAAAAGTTTTATAATAATGCATCCTAATGAAGTAGCTAATCTTCATAGCTATAAAGCAATCAGACGTGCAGTATGGATCCTGCCTCCTTCAAATATCTATAAACTCAACTTTGATGGCAGTTCCTTTAGAAATCCAAGAACGACGGGTTTTGGGGGTTTTATTAGAGATCATCTTGGAAAGATTCTATTGTCTTACTCTGGTCCTTGTGGTAATACAACAGTCAATGAGGTAGAAGCTAGAGGTCCATTGGAGGGAATTAAATTGCTTTCAAAATTTGAGGGGAGGAAATGGTATTGAAAGGGATTCAACGAATATTATAGCATGGTGTAAAAGAGAAGCGAGAGTTCCTAAGAGAGTCTCTTCCATTTTTCATAAAATTAGTAACATTCTTCAATCACTTGAAGTTGAAATACTCCATTATTGCCGTGAAGCAAACGCTTAAGCAAATTCTTTAGCCAATAGAGGGTGCCTTTCAATCCTCATTGGTGATTACCAATATCATGTGATGTACCTTTATGTATTTCGTTCCCCTTGTAACTGGAAGGGTTTATAGTAAATAAAAGTAATGTTTCAATGTTAAAAAAGAAAGAAAGATAAGTTTGTGCTCCACCGGCCCTCTAGGTTTATAAATTAGTTAACTTGATCTTGGAAGGATGGACAGTACCGATTGATTATCCTTTTTTGGGTGAATAAGATTTAACTTGCTCTTATTTCTCATACTCTTGAGCTCTTTCGAAGTATGGGTTTTTGGCGTTTGGCCCAACAAAAGCTAAAAACATGTTGTAAAATAGGCTCGGTCCATTCCAAGATTGATCAGTGGTTGGTAAGTAAAAAAGCTAATTATTAGAACAAGGAAATCTCAGCATATTGAGAGTTCACGACCCCCGGTTCAAACCCATCGTCTTTTTTTTCATTTTTCTATGTGGTTAGTACCATGAAATTTTCACCTCAGCAATGCTCTGGTTCGTCAAATTTGTTGAAACCAAAGTCACCCGGGCCAAGCATTTATTTCCTTCTTACTCTATCTCTCCAACTCAAGCTCCATTTAAGCATAGGAACAAGAGCTCTCAAACATGTCTTTTTATTGCAAATCTTGATTCTGATTTGGCTACAACAAATCAGGGCAAAAAGGCAATTGAACGACTGTTAGAGAACCCCCAAAGATTAGATTTTGAGACGATTTTCTCTCTTTTAAAAACATCTTCCAAGCTCAAGTCTTTAAGGAGAACCAAAAGAAGCCATAGCCTTTTGCTAATCAAGGGCTTTTACCCACATAATATAACCCTGTTATCTCAGCTTATAAATGCCTATGTCAACTGCGATAGCTTTCAAGAAGCTCTTCTTGTGTTCAACCACCTCCCCAAAAGGTCTCTTTTTGCCTATAATTCAATCATCAAAGGGTTCATAAACCAGGGCCTTTTTGTGGAGGCCCTTGAACTCTATAGTTTATTACTTGATGAAGGCCTAATCCCTGATAATTTCACCTTTCCCTGCGTTTTGAAGGCATGTGCTGGTTTATGTTGGCTTGAACAAGGCAAAAAAATCCACGAATTCATCAATTTTTTAAGTGAATCTTCTAAGAATTATGAGCCCAACATGTTTGTGGACTGTGCTCTCATAGACATGTATGAGAAATGTGAAAGCTTAATTGAGGCCCAAAAAGTATTTGAAGGAATGCCTTACAGAGATTTGGTTTCATGGACGGCCATGATTTGTGGCACCGTGCATAATGGGCATTGGCTTAAAGCTCTTGTTCTGTTCTCTAAGATGAGAGCAGAGGGCATTAAGCCTGATCCTGCAATGTTGTCGGCTATTCTCCCTGCTTGTAGTCGCTCCTCTGCACTTCCACAGGGAAAAATGCTCCATAGTTTTACAATTAGGAGTGGAATTGATGGTTCTTTGAATGTGATGAATGCACTTGTTGATATGTACTCCAAATGTAACAGAACCCAAGAAGCATGGCTTGTTTTTCTCAGTATAGAAGATAAGGATTTGATCTCATGGAGCAGTATGATTGCAGGTTATTCACAAAATGGCGAGTACAAAGAATGCTTGGAACTCTTTCTTAGTCTGATTAGAGAAGGTATTAGACCCAATTCAGTTATATTTCCTAGTGTCCTTCCTTGTTTTGGTGCTTTAAATATGTTGAATAAAGGGAAAGAGGTCCATTGTAATGTAATTAGAAATGGGTTTGAGTTTGATGTGTTTGTGGGAAGCTCACTGATCGATATGTATGCCAGATGTGGATGCATGAAATGGGCAGAGTTGGTCTTTGAGATAATGCAAGATAGAGATGTTACAATTTGGAACTCTATAATTAATGGATATGCCGAGTGTGGTGATTTGGATAAGGCATTTATATTGCTGAGGACGATCAGAGATACTGGAACTGAACCCAATTCTGTTACTATTGTGAGTGTTCTTCCGTTATGCACTAGCTTGGCAACTCTGCAGCACGGAAGAGAAATCCATGGCTATGCCATTAAAGCTGGCCTTGGGTCAGTGGTAAACGTTGGGAATGCGCTTATTGATTTGTACTGTAAATGTGGGCATTTGGAGCTCGGTTTGAAGGTCTTTGGACAGATGAGAGAGCGAGACATTGTTACGTATAACTCAATCATAGCAGCACATGGAATGCATGGTAACACAGACCATGCTTTCTCTCTCTTCAACCAAATGGAGAGAGAGAGAGTGGAGCCTAACAAGGTTACCTTCCTTGCACTTTTATCGGCTTGCAGCCATGGAGGACTGGTAGAAAGAGGTCGGGTTTTCTTCAATTCCATGACTGATGATTATGGCATCAAACCCGAGATGGAACACTATGCTTGCATGGTTGATATGCTTGGGAGATCAGGCTGCCTTGATGAAGCATGGGAGTTCATCAAAGCCACGAAAATAGAGCCCGGTATCGATGTTTTAGGAAGCCTTCTTGGAGCATGTAGAGTTTATAATAGGATTGATATAGCTGAGAAGGTTTCGGAGAAGCTTTTCAAGATGGAACAAAGTGATGCAGGGTATTATGTGCTCTTATCAAACATATATGCAGCTTCGGGCAGATTGGGTGAAGCAATGCAAGTAAGAAAATTGATGAGAGAAAGAGGGATTTCAAAGAATCCTGGGGTCAGTTGGGTTGAGGTTGGAGGGTCAATGAACTCATTTCTAGCAAGAGATAGATCACACCCTGATAGGGCTAAAGCATATGAGGCTCTGAAAAGCTTGATCTTACACATGAAGAATGAGGGTTATGCTCCTGATACTAGCTTTTCCTTGCTTGATATTGAAGGGCATGATGAAAAAGAAGGGCGGGCTCTTGGGTACTCATTTTATAGTCCCCAGGCAATGAACCAATGACACGTCTATTAAGTACCGTGGTGACCTTTTTGGAGCAGTGATATGTCTCATCATTAAACAAAGCCAAAGGATTATACACCTCAAGTAAAACCCAAACCCAAACCCAAACCCAGTATAGGAGTAATTTTAGGGCCCCATATTTTGGGGATATAACCTCGTCAACCAATACAACCAACCTTAGTAAAAGGAAAAGGTGCGGTTTGCATGAGGTTGCAGCTAACCTTCAACAATTAAAGTTAGGTGCACCTCCCAACTTTGTCATGAGATGAAATTTTAGTGTATCGAGATGGTGCCAAAATCTATTTTTATCTATAGTTGTAAAATTTTACTCCAAAAATAGTTCAAATCAAGCAGATTTATGCGCACATGAAAATTTGAAAATGGAAGGTCTAGATAATGTGTTATAAGGTGTACCATTGTTGGGACTTAAAATCTCTCTTCTTTTTTTTTTCATATATATATACATCTGACATGTAGATGATCAATTAGATGTTTTTCCGACTTCGAAACAACATTTTTCGAAAGATTTTAGAGCTGGGAAAAGTTTATATAGATCCGAGGCTCTAAATAATTAAATTAGAGGCCTACCTAAAAAAATTCACTAGATATGGTTGTTTTGATGCCCAAACATCTTCAAATTGATCATCTTAACATCAAGATGGATGGACATGAGAAAAAAATGGATTTCAAGTTTTGAAAATAGTGTTTTTTGTAACACATTTTTGGACTATCAATTTTAAAGATTTTCAAGTTTTCATAGATTTGTCGATCTACATTATTTTTGAAGCTTTAAACTTTATAAATACAGATGAAAATATATTTTAAGGCTATCACAATGATTTCCAATATTGAAACTACATTTTTTGACACTATTTGAAGGTAGGCTCCAATTTGATTGTTTAGAGCCTAGGCTCTATACAAACCGCACCTTTAGAGGTGCACCTTAATTCTACATTTTAAGTTGTCAACCTTGCATAAACCTTTTTGAAAAAAAAATTCCAAATTGAACTCTCATGTACTAAAACAAATGATGTACATTTTAAGTTGTCAACCTTGCATAAACCTTTTTGAAAAAAAAATTCCAAATTGAACTCTCATGTACTAAAACAAATGATGTCTCAAGATTGAAGTGACACCATCTTATTTTTGAAGGGTGAGATCTAAGTGCTTATAGGGTGAGATCTAAGTGTCAATGGGAAATTCAGAATTCAAATTTCATCTTTTGAAAATAGATTATTAAGTTGTTTCCAAACTTTCATAGTGGAATATCCCGATCCTGTAGGTCATTTGATTGAGGGAGTAGATGCACAGTATATGCCCTCGCAGAAGCAGAGCATACCTACTCTTTAACAGAAGTTACATCCATCTAAAGTGATTTGCAATAGAAGTCAGGGGCATATGGGATGGGAAAAATCTACTTTTTATTGAAATACGAAGTGCATGCATTTAACTCTTTAAGTGTAAGATAAATTTAATCTTTTTCAAAGAATCTTCTATAGGAAAATTTGTCCAACAATTTTATGCAGGAAAAAGCTCACCACCGAAAAAAAAAAAAAAAAAAAAAGGAAAAAAAAGAAGAAAGAAAAAGGAAAGGAAAGGAAAAGTTCCATGACTTTCTACCTAAAATAAGATAACCAGTTTTTCCTCCTTTTCATTCTCTTTAAATTATTCCTCGATGATGTTGAAAGTTGAAACTGCTAGTCTGCTACCAATAGAAAAATGTTTTGTTGTAAGGAAATGATCAAGGGGCCAGCAGTTTCAAAGTTGAAGTGGTTATTCTTATTTTTAGGCACTTTGACAGTTGAGCTTTTCAATGTACTTCTTTGGAAGGTGAACCATTACTAATGCCAACATATAAAAGGATCTCTCTCTCTCTCTCTCTCTCTCTCTTATGGTCAAAGGGATGCAAAAGAATAGCTCCTTAGGAAAACTCAAAAATCTGAAAATTGTTATTAACCCTGAAAAACCTCTAATACCTCATTTAATGCTATAAACTTATTAAAGACTCTTGAAAAACTTACTACAGACCTATTTCCTGTGTGGAAGGATGAGATTTTAATAAGGATGTGGCTTTATGAAATTTGGTAACGCCACATCTCAAAACCCCGCTAGAAATGTAAAAACAAGTGCTGTAAACACATGTGATGGCCTGCAAATCAATGGTGCGGATCTAGTGGTCAATAAAGACTTGAAATTGATGGCCCAAAAGAAGAGTGTTACAAGATGGACCATTTGTAAGTGGCTTGAAATCACTTTCTTTTTACCCTCCAAATTCATGGTTGTCAAAATAGCAATGATCGATTTCTAGATTTTTTGATGCTGAAGTTGTATTTTCCAGCGAGATTTGAGTTATGGCTGTATGAAGCGGTGGCTATATAAACTACTTTCCCTTAGTGGAAAGTAGGTTCATAACAGTGAGAGGCCAACCAAAAATCAAGGTCAATAGTCTTCATACCCTAGTTTAATAGATAGAACAGTATCAACATTCGCTTTTCTAGTCACTCCTCTGCATATCCCCAACGACATTACATGACAGATGAAAGAATTCGGCTGGTACTAAACTTCTAAAAGGTAATATGCAGTGTTGAACTCAAACCAAAATCCTCAATAAAGCAAACTTTTGTGCATGTATGCGTGCTTACGTGTGTGTGTGAGAGAGAAAGAGATGGAGAGAGAGAGAGGTTCCTAAATGAACATGCAGAGAGTGGAAAGATGGATCAGCCCATTCTGTTTCCTAAATCAACATGCAGAGATAAGGTTTTGTTTTTTCTCAATAGAATGACTAGTAACCCCAGGATGTAAATATCACCTTGGATTCCTATGGAATAAAAATGTAGCATACAAATAGAATAACAACTGAGTGCTGTCAGTGCAAGATCTTGATTGACTATGGCAACTTGCTTGAGCCCCAGACTTAGGCGAGAGCATCAGATCCTCATACATGAAAAGCTAATTTACCACCAAAAACAAAAAATCTCATAAGGTGCCAAAATCAGTCACTTAGACCCCACAAGTACGGCGACCTTTTGGACGAGAAAATACAGGCGCTTCGAGGATGAATTGAAACAAGCTTTCCTCTTTTCTTTTTTTTTTGAGAATTGAAACAAGCTTTCCTCTTTTCTTTTTTTTTGAGAATTGAAACAAGCTTTCCCCTTTATAGCAATGTTTGGAAACTCTATTGTTCTTGACCACTTCCAATGAGTAAGACTCATAATATACTTTTTCTATAGTTCAGAACAAGTAAGCCATCATTGGTATTTTTTTTAATCATATTTGGATTCAACCAATTTCACAAATTTCTATGATATCATGGTTTTTTCACATTTGCCTAGGAAAATACTGCTGTGCAGGAAAATTGCAGAAGACATCAAGAGGAACAATCCCAAAATGATTTTAGGTGTCAATAATCAATGTGAAAAAGAAGCGATAAGACAATTTACCAAGAAGGTAAGAACTAAGCAGAAACTAATACAATTCTCAAACCCAATACCAAGCACGGTAGACCTTCCTGAACACACATTATACCAATCAACAACATGCATATACAAATTACTTTTCAAAAAGAAAGACAATAAAGCAATGGGACGCATAGAAGAATACGGGCCAATTTAACATTACTCTATGTCAACAGACATGATTACAAAAAAAAAAAAAAGGTTAAAACCAAACCTTTTTTTCATTATTACATATTTGTTTAGGTATTGAAGAGCCTGGATATTCCACAAATGAAGAACCCACTGACAAAAATGTACAAGGAGAATAATGCAAATTCTTCTCTCCAAAACCCAACATCCACTTCTGCTACCTAAAGAAGCAGGACCCAAAATTTTATCCTAAGGTTAGAACTAAGTACCTGCTTGTTCAAAAGTTTGCCTGATCCTGTCAATAAGAACCTTTGTCCTCGAAAGTAGATCACAGCTCACCAAGTGTGAACAAATAATTTAAATGGGTGTGGCATATAACGCTTCTCACCACTGGAGTTTTCCAGCCATCATATGTACAAAAAAGGACTCAAGAAAATCAATCATAGCCTGCAAGTGAAGAAGTCAATAAGTTAGTGACCTTCCGTTACATTCAAATGCTTAATCCTTTTTTGCTTATTGAAATAATTGCTTTACACGGGTATAATGTTAGTTAGGCAGCACTGCTGCAATAATTTGTAAATATTTTGTCAAAGGAGTAGTAAACTGCAAGGAGGTCATAAAAAACGTGGACCAAATATGTGAACCTGAAAAAGTTATTTGCCTTGATAAATTGACATGACTATTGTCATATTTAGTCAAAAGAAAGAGCTGCCATGTTAGTATATAGAAATTGGTTATCACTTACTTGTAGTTCCATTAGGGGCGACACCATTTCTATTGGAGCCAATAACTTGGGATGATTGATTATGTCCCGGCACCAAGTTAGGTTGTGCAGAGTGTTCACTTATCACCTGGCAAATGACATAAAAAGGTAATCAATCAATAAGTGACACATAACAGATAAAATATTTCCTAAGACATGGAATAAAATGTCCACAAACAATAACAAGCGATTTTGTAATCCTCTTTAATTTCCTAACAGGGGGCAAATGAGTAATTTCATACAAATATTCATTGGAGTTCTTAACTCTCCCTAACAGAAACAATGATTGCTCTTTTTTATCTTAGTTCCTTGCCTTACTCTCTTAACTTTGAAGTTCATTTGTTGCCACTAAAACTCCCATCTGAAAGTGAAACCTCTAGATTCCTACAAGGGCACCAAAATCACCCAAATTCGTCCTTGAAAAATGACAAAATAACAAATATTTTACAGAAAAAAAAAAGTTATTCAACTAAAATTTTGAATTTCTTTTATTAACAGGAGAATGAACACAAGTGTAATTTTAAAACACAACCCACATATCAACCCACATATGCAGAGGAACAACATGTCAAAGAATCAAATTAGAAATTCCCCAAATATCTTTTAACAATAAGTAAAAGGAGAAGAAACATGCGAAAGAAACCTGATTTGAGGCCTCCAGCTGCTGGCTATCAGTGACCTTTTGCTGCACATTAGGGGAGATCAGATTTTGCATCTGGTCTTTTGAACTAGACGGGGGATTTAGTTCAGAAAATGCCCCCGAACTTGTCGGGGCTGATATATCAGGTCCTGCAACTGCCTTTGCTTGAGGAAACCCAGAAAAAGGAAGGAAGGGAGCTCTAGCCATAGGCATTCCATACATTTGCAGATTTGAACCAGGCATCCCAGGTAAGCCCATAGGCCCTGAAATTGAAGAGCATGGAATTTGGGGTCCACGAATTGAGGGTAATGGAATCAATGGGCAACCAGGAGAACCACCAATGTCGAGCATACCCATCCCCATGCCCATTCCAATGCCCATACCCATGCCCATTCCTACTCCCATTGGTGAGAAGTGTGTCATGTGTGGTGGCGGCATGTGTTGCATCCCAGCAGTCATCATCATCGGAGGCATGCACATCCCACTTGCCATTGACATGATCTATGCAAAGAAAGAAGCCACAATAAGACCAGAGTTACAAGGAGGCGGGAGAACTGATATGGAACAAATGACAACATATCTCACTTGTGTGCAGGCACGCGTACGCATGCATTTGTGTTGGTAAACGGGTACTAAAGTGGTGTACTAAAATGATGTCCAAAAGAGTCAAAATTTATGTGGTTAAAAGGCAGACTCATCCGACAAAAACCCCCATAGTCCCATACTACTTTAAAGATATCTTACTTGAACCTGAAGCTGAAGTGTTTTCAAGTATTCTATTGCCTCATCGAGCATTGAAGCTTTATCCACCTAATATAAACAGTTTTAAAGTAAACAGTGAGCGTGATAGGGCAAGCTAAAAGCACTACGGAATTAGAAGCCCATGCAAGAACAGGGAAATTGATACCAGTACCTTATTGCAGTTGGGGATGAGCTCTTGTAAGGCACGCATTTTCTCATTTATCCTATCTCGTCGCCTCTACATGCAAGCATTCAAAACAAATTGTCTCGTTCAACCCCAAGTAGAAAACATATTTTCCTGATACTTAAGAACTAAACTATATCACTCACTCGCTCGGATAAGTTATGCACTTCAGCAGCTCGGCTTCTCTTGGTGGTTGCACTCCGCCCAGTTGCCTGTTTCCTCGTGCCTACTGATTCACCTTCAACATCCTACAACGCAAATTTAAACTTAATTTGGTATGTGACAAAACTTTGAGGCTCATGGAAAATCATAAAATGCACCAGAATATTATGTGACTAAAACTATAAGAAAGCCAACTCATGTTTTTACATTATCAAGAGGAGGGTCTGAATGTACTTACTTCACTTTGATACCCAGATTCTTCCTGTTCCCCCACCTTCCTCTTTAAGCCATGTCTTGGCTCTTTCGATACCCTACCACCACTGTTTCCTGAACAAACAGAAGAAGAAGCAACCACTGGCTCGACAGCTTTTACACTCTCAGATATTCCCAATGCGGTGCTTGCTGCAAAGCTCGAACTAGGGCAAAGCGTGCGATCAGGAGACCTATTTTGAGAAGTAGAAGCATCCTCTACATACATAACATCTTCCTCAACAGATTGCTTCTCTCTAGCAGGTGATGAAGAAATGTCTTTTGCCTTTGTAGGGTGCAAAGATGCCTGGCATTGCTGATCCAATTTGGTTTTGCCACTCTTTGAAACAACAGCTGAATCCACTATTGAAGACTCCACTGGATTGCTATCAGTAACAGAGGCCTTGTCATTATTGTTCTTGAGCCTTCCAGCCATGCCCATGCTTTGAAGATTCGCTTTAACCAGAGCTGCAGGCCTAGAGAAATGGGAAAAGTTCATCAAATTGGTATGGGTGGGCTGAGGAGGCCTTGTAGATCCATGGTTTGGCTGCTCAGTCTTCGAATTAACAATCCCAATTGCTGGATTTGCACCTGGGGAGGAAGAATTCCCACAGGAAGATTTATGGGTATTGCTGGGAAATTGACGAAGAATCGGGTTCGAAGGTTGACCTTGTTGAGAGTTAAAAGGCTGGAGTGCCCTTAATCTGGAGGGGGCCTGGGAGCTATGCTCCATAGACAAATTCTTATGGCTTGTAGTGTCCAAATTGCAAGCTTTCTCTGATACAACAACATTGGTTGGCTTAGAAAGAGGAGTGAGATTGACCCCTGACAATTCGGGGAAGAATTCTGAGCAATAATCTCTCTCCAAGGAATCATCAAGTGGGTAATTTAGCCAAGGCACCATTTCATCTTCTTGAACTAAGGGGCAACCAGAAGCCTGACCAGAAGAGAAATCATGGAGAACAGATTCCAGAGTTCCATACCTTCCACCCTTTGAAGCCACGGGTAGGACAGCATCACCACTATTATGATTTAGATGGGTTTTTGGAGGATGTGAAGAGTAACCAGATGAAGAGGCATCCTTCCTATTTCTACTGGTCTGACCCTGCAGCACAATCTGGCCATTCTCCCAAAGTAGCTCCACAAATTCATGATCAGGCCTGCCCAAAAGAAGAGATCAAACTTCCACTAGGGAAAAACTCAAACAAGCAATGCAAACCAAAAACGATAATCAAGTGAAACAAACACAGAAACCCAAAGGGTTCAACAAATTCACTACGATTCGAAGAAACTGGAGTATAGAGAAA